CCAATAGCTACTCCGGGGGATCATGCAGAATCATCCCGAAGGAGGAAGCCAGTTTTGGAGCGCCTCGGTCCAGTTCCCGACGAGAGAGGCAAAGTTCCAGTTCACGAGCGTTTGGGCCCAATGAAGAAGCCCAGAACGACTCAACACGTTGGGGGTTGCCGTCACCTCCAGTATGACAAAGAGCTCAAGGCAACTGTGCGCACCAATTTACGCATCGAAGTCCAAGAGCACACCGAAGACTCGTGCCCACAAAGGCACGTTTCGAGGCGTGTAACTTTTGAAAGCCCAAAGAAGGCGATCCAACCTCAGATGGAAACATTATCATCTGATAGTGATAGTGTTATACCTGAGAAGTCGTGCCCGCACACGATAGGTTACTCCGACTGTCAAAATGACGAGTTGTACTATCGTGCTGGGGGTACGAATAGAACCAGGAAGAGGAGTCCCCGAGAACAGGAAACTCAATGCCCCTGTTCCAAACTCATTCGGGCGGTATTGTCTGAATGCAACTGCATCAAGGCGGTCCCCGAAAGAGTTTCAGTTTTTGAAAGACTCAGTGCGGAGACGCCAAAACCCAGGCCTAGGCGTTTTCAACGAAGAAGAAGGATGATTGAAGACGGAGAATTTCCGAGGGTCACCACCAACATGACCAGCAAGGGGACATCGGCACGGGATGATTTCGAGTCGATTCTAAGAGCCTCCCGACCTAGAACCCGTCTGCAGTCCGGAACCATCGAGCGAGCAACCTATGGTAGGGTTCGGACAAGACGCCCTTCAGAAGATGAAGAATCTGATGCCGGCTCCGCAATCGCATTCGCGGTTGCATCAGATAATACGGTATCCAGCGAGGGACAACCCCACGAGGCACTTATGATAAGTGCGGAACAAATTGCCAAGATGCTTGAAGACGCCTTAGCTAAGCAACAGGAAACCTTTAGGTTCGAGATGCAGATGGCCATGCAGAACATGAGAGAGATGCATGAGCAACAAATTCAGGCACTGACGAACCAGCGAGGTGAACCAAGCCAAGATGCTTGAAGACGCCTTAGCTAAGCAACAGGAAACCTTTAGGTTCGAGATGCAGATGGCCATGCAGAACATGAGAGAAATGCATGACCAACAAATCCAAGCATTGGCGAACCAGCAAGGTGAGCCGAACCGTCGTAACCCGGTTAATCTGGAAGATGAGGATACGAATGCTCATAATATCAATGATCCTCCCCGAAGTTCAGTCTGATTAACTTCACGCCGTTCGATGGGAAGGGTTCCCCCACTCAGCATTTGATTTATTTCAAATCACACCTGGGTATTATCTCCGGCAATGAGCCTCTGATGGTGCGGTCCTTCGTTGGCACTCTTCGCGGAGCCGCCTTCGATTGGTACCGCCGCCTCAAGCCAGGAAGCGTGAACAGCTGGGATGACATGGAGACCAAGTTCCTGGCCAACTTCTTCGACGACGACACCGAGATATCTATCGGAGCATTGCTCGATGAGAAGCAGAAGGACGGGGACGAGATATCCATCGGAACGTTGCTCGACGAGAAACAAAAAGACGGGGAATTAGTCGATACTTTCGTCAAGAGGTTCCGGAACAAGGCATTGAATTGCAGGGACCCGATCACTGAGGAGTTCATTCTCCAGACCTGCCACAACAATCTTTCGTTGGACGTGTATTGCTCGATGAGAAGCAGAAGGACGGGGAGTTAGTCGACACCTTCGTCAAAAGGTTCCGGAACAAGGCGATGAATTGCCGGGACCCGATCACAGAGGAATTCATCCTCCAAACTTGCCACAACAACCTTGCGT